GGGGCCCTCCCCGCGGCCCGGCGGGCGGGAGGCGTGAGGGGAGCGCGGCCGCCGCCATGGAGGAGGTGGACGGGGACCCGCCGCTGATGGTGAGGGCCGGGCCGGGCCGGGGAGGCGCGGGGCGGTGCGGGGCTGTGCGGGAACATCTGACGGGCCGCCGTTCCCCTCACAGGTGGTGCCCGGCGCCGACCCGTCGGCCAGACAGCTGTGCTTCGCCTGGGGCCCCGCCGAGATGCTGGTGTGCGAGACCCTCTTCGGCCGCAGAGGTGGGTCCCCGTCCCGGGGTGGGCCGGGCGCCGTCCCCCGTCCCCGTCCCCGTCCCCGGGGCGCTGAGCCGGGTGTGTGTTGCCTTGTAGGCGTCGAGGATGGAAGGCAGAGCTCCTCCTGCGTCTTCGTGGTCCGCAAAGATCAGGACATCTACATCCAGACCTTGAGGAAACTCTTCAACGAGTCGCACGGGATCTTCGTGGGGCTCCAGCGGAGCGAGGAGGAGCTGGCGGGGAAGTCGAGGAAAACGCAGTGAGTGGATGGGGAGCGGGAGGGTGGAAGGAACCCACCGACCTGCTCCTTCTCCAGCCAGGGAAATGCCATTGACTCACACACCCAGACTGCCCAGAGCCGCTGTAATCAGCAGCAGGGCAGGAAAAAAATGACAGTTTTAGGGTGATTCTACCCTAAACAAGGCCCTGATCCTTCCAGTAACCCTACTGTCCAGCACCTTTGTGCACATAGCCAGCTGTCATGGCTGGGATGGGGTTGACTTGTCTTGCTGGCAGGCGGTGTAGGGCTGTGTCGTGGGTTTGGGATGAGAATAGTGTTGGTAGCAAACTGACTGATGGTTTGGGTTGTTGCTGAGCAGTCAAGGACTTTTCTGCCCCTCACACCATCCCGCCAGCAAGCAGGTTGGGGGGAGAGCACAAAAAGTTGTGAGGAGACACAGCTGGGACAGCTGACCCCAACTGACCCAAGGGATATTCCATACCATACGACATCATGCCCAGTATATAAAGGTGGAGAAGGAAGCGGGGGACATTTGGAGTTACAGCATTTGTCTTCCCAAGTCACCGTTATGTGTGATGGGGCCCTGCTTTCCTGGGGATGGCTGAACACCTGCCTGCTGGTGGGAAGCAGTGAATGAATTCCTTGGGTTTGCTTTGCTTCTATGCACCCCTTTTGCTCTACCTATTACACTGTCTTTATCTCAGCCCATGAATTTTTTTTCACTTTTACTCTTCCCATTCTCTCCCCCATCCCGCCTGGGGGGAGCGAGCGAGGGGCTGCGTGGCCCTAGTTGCTGGCTGGGGTTAAACCACGACACCAGCAACCACCACACACAGCTTTGCTGGCTCCCGTGGGATTCACCCAAGTACTGGGAGCATCCACTGCTGCAGAGAAACCAGCAAGGCTTCAGTGGACAACAGGCGTGAGCCTGAAACTCAATCAGCGTTCTCTAACTGAAGCCTTTTTGTATTTGGCAGATTAGTTCAAGTGAGTAAAAACTACCGGTCGGTGATAAGAGCCTGTATGGAGGACATGCACCAGGCAGCTAGTAAGTTTGTTTCATCTCTTACTGCAATGAAAGGAAATGCTATTTATGATTATAAAAGTAGCATTTCAATTGTAAGGTAATGCAACTACTGTAAAATAGGACACATAGATTTCAGTAATTATCAAGACTCCATTTCCGTGAGGGAGATTTTCAAGTTGGTTTGTAAATGTGGTCTCAGAGATATTTTTTTTCCACAGTGTTTTAACTGATTTTCGGGGGACTTGGAGTGTGTGCAGTTTTAGGGGAAACTGAGTCCAAATTAACATCCTGCTCCCCCCAAAAACAGGAGATTTTACTCTTCCTTTCCATCTGTGCCCCGTGGCTGTACCCAGATTTGCACAGGATTTAATAAAAAGAAGTTGTAAAGTTTTGTATAAAAGTTAGCTTTGCCACGTGTGCACTCATTTAGGTCTGTGCCTGATGAGTGATCAGGTATTGTTGTCTTTATTTATGAGCCCCAAAAGGGCTGTGGAAGGTAAATATGTTGCTCTTTGACTTTCCTTATTCTTCCCTCAGTCTCAGCGCGGGACCCTGCCCTGCAGAGCCAGTACAGCACTCAGGTAACTGCACTCGGGTCATACAGCCACAACTGACACAAATCACTGGCCAGTAAATTCATCAGGGCCAACACTGTGGCAGGAAGGCATTCCAGATTTAGCTCTGGCTTAGTATATTGGATGTGTTTCGTGACCAAGAATAGATGGGAATAAATAGTTAGATCCTGTATTTATAAAATAATAAAAGGATGCCCAACATCTGGATTCACTGCCATGTCTTAAACATCTATTCAGTGTTATAGGTGTGATGTTTTCTTGTCATCTTAAAGCCAGCTGGCTGCCAGGACTGAGCTTCACTGATTGCTATGGACAGCACATGTCTTTGTGTGGTTAAAAACCCTGACTGGAATAATTGCTAAATCTGAAACATTGCACTGCTTTTTTTCAGGTTTCTATTCTCTCTGCAATGGAGCTGATCTGGAACCTGTGTGAGATTCTGTTTGTTGAAGCAGCTGCAGGTGAGCAGTGAACTGTCCTGATGTTAAGACTTGAAGGGCTTTTTGTTTGCCTATTTATTAATTTAAAATGTGTATAGCATCCATTTTGTCATATTTTAATGTATCAACAAGCTTTTTAATATCTGTTCTGCCTCAGTAAACTTCTTTCTTCATATTGAATTACGTCAAGCTACTAGATTTGCCTTCTACTTTTTCCCCCCGTGTAGTTCCCTACAATTTAAATTCTCTTTTTAACAGAAAGGTAGTGAAGAAGAGGAATATCAAAAGTTGCTGCCAATTTATTTGACTTGTAAGCATAAACACATCTTTAAGCATCGAATATGTTGATGCCAACTAACATCTACACATTCTCTGGTGCAGCTCCTTTAGCTTTAGGATGCCATTTTGGAAGTCAGTTTGTTTACACCAGCATTTTAAAGTAATAAATAATTTTTTAAGGAAATCAGATTATACAAACAAATACGCTGCTTGCACAGTGCCAGAATTCAGAGAGATTCACAAACTGTAGATTACTTAATCTCAAGAAAAGTTAATCACCTAGTGCCAGATTTCCTCCTCTCATTCAGTTAATAATGAGTTGACGGTAAATTAAACAGAAGCATTCTAGGTATCTTTTGTCATTGCAAGATCTATGATCTGACTCACTCACCTTTTATTTCTTCGAGTAACTGGTTGGGGTTTTCTGCTGGTCTCTTCTGCTGTTCTGTGTAATATTTGTGACAGAGAAATCTGTCAGCCACCTGGTGCTCCCACCGCCTGGCTCCTTAAGGAGCTCTGTTCCTTTTTAATTTGAGCGTGGCATCTAGAAATCCAGTTGTTAAACTCATCTAATGGTTGTCAAACTGTTCAGGTTGGAAGCACGTAAAATAGTAGTTTGGGACCAAACAGTTGGGAACTAAAAGAATGAAATGTTCTCTGCACACAGCTGGTCCCCTGCTGCTTCGCCTCCTCGACTGGGTTCGACTTCACGTCTGTGATGTGGACAACATGGTCCGTGAAGTCCTGAGCAGTGAAAATCCATCAAAACATGAGCTCTTCTGGAACGTGGTGAGTATAGTCACCCCTGAGATTCTTAAACAAAGAGAATTCACAGCTGTGTGTTTTGCCTTCCTCCTCCCCACTCAGCACTAGGCAACCTCTCAGAAACTAATAGCTAGGACACTGCTGCTGTCTGCCTAGATAGGTTGTAAGATGAAGCCATTCTGATGATCATCTGACCCTCATTCCCACCCTGATCCTTTCACTTTTGTGATCCACAGAGATCAAGACTTACACTGTGTATTTGGATTAGCGGGGCCTGCCGTTTAAGCACTTTACCTCCACTGAACTTGCCTGAATCACAAGTTTTGGTTCCCCTCTGATGCTCCTCCTGGGTGTTTTGCAGCCTTGCCCAGCGCAGCGCTCACAGACGGGTGCCTTTTTTTAGGTGGATGTCTTCGTGCTGCAAGGCCGCATGGATGAAGCGCGGCACCTGCTCTCCAAGGAAGCCAGTGCCAATCCCACCTCGATGAACATGTACAGAATCTTGGATGACTTGATGAAGAAGATGCCTATGCCCAGCGTATGTACAAAGTGGATTTTTTTCATGCAGTTCCACTGGGAAAAGAGATAAGAGGGATGGCAGTATTAATCTAGTCTGTTTCATCTCTGCTGTGGCTCCTGTAACATCACTGCCTGTGGACCATTAAAACATCTCAGTCTTAATCCTTTACAGTAACAACACTTGTGTTCTTGACCTACTCAAAAGACCAACCATAGAGGCAAAAACCTGTTAGGTGACAAAATTACATAGTTAGATAATTTTTGCAGCAGGACACATTATCCAGTTGTCTGAAACAGTTCCTGTTGAGAACTGTTTTCTTGTACAGAATATTCTCTTCAGATTTTTCCAGCAGGGTTTCCCCCTGTTGCAGTGATCTCCTCGTGGAGGAAAAACTGCAGCTGCATCACGGGAATCTCTTGTAGGCTCTTCTTTGCTTAGTTAGGTGGGTGGGATAAGACACTTCAAATGCAACTGTAGGACAAGGGAAAATTTGATGGCAGCTCCGTGTTTAGCTTTTTAGGATGAATGACTGAGTTCAGCCCAGGCGCCTGCTGTGGTTTGACTTGGTGTTTCCTTTATTTCATGTATCTTCTCTCTGTTCAGCTTGGCAACACCCAGACACTGACTGAGATGGAGCTGAAGTGGCAGCACTGGCATGAAGAATGTCAGCGGTATCTACAGGATGGAACTTTTGCTTCCAATTCCCACATGGAATCCATCTGCAAGGTGTGTTTTTTGCTGGGAAGGAAGGAAACCATAGGCAAGTATTGGATCCATCCTCAGG